CAGCTGGGGGATGGGTGCAGGGGTCAGTTAAGTGGACCAGGACAGGCACCATTAGCCTCTGCTGGAAGGACACACACCTCCTTGTTGATGGGATATCTCTGGGTGAGGAGGTAAAAGTTATTTTTCCTTGGTGTTTTTCTGTAGCCTACAAGTTTTCTGACATTGAGTCTACTAATTTGGGAATTCGAAAATACACATTCAATCACATCCATGCAGCAAAATCACCTGGTTTATTGCAGGCAGAAGTAACAAGAAATGACCCATATTCCTGACCCTGTGGTGATCCCTTGGCCACACCTGGCCGATGCCCCTGCCCACTGTTTGGCGAGGCCACTTCCCAAGCCCAGCCCTGTTTCTTTCCTTGTCACCAGAGCGTCTCTGCCTGTTTGTCGGGCCCCGTGGGCCGGCAAGCACTTCAGGGCGGCTGACTGTGGGACTCATAGATCAAGCACGTAACGAATGTGGCTAATGGAGAGGGCACCACGAGGGAACAAGGCGGCGGGTGTGGGGCCATAAATAACAGTAAGTACAACGTAGGTGCCAAACACTGTCAGAACCTTTATATATGACGTCTTGCTTAATCCTTGCAACAGCCCCATGAAGTGGAAATGGTTATTCTCCTTTAACAGATGAGGGAGTCCCTGGATTGGGGATTAAAAAACGACAGTTCTAGCCCTGGCCAGTTTGGCTCAGCGGTTAGAGTGTTGGCCTGCGGTCTGGAGAGACCCGGGTTCGGTTCCCGCTAAGGGCACGTCCTTCGGTTGCAGTTTGTCCCCGGCCCTGGTTGGTCGTGCGAGTGGCAGCCACTCGATGTGTCCCTTTCACATCGATGTTTCCCCCTCTCTCTCCCACTCTATCTGAACAAAAAATGGAAAAATATCCTCAGGTGAGGATAAAACAAAAAACGACAGTTCTAGTTTTTGCTCAGTCACCAATGAAAAACTGAAAACACTGGACCAAATGAGCGATTTTCAAACTGTATTTGTGGGAGCCCCGAGGCTCCGCAGAGATGCCCAGGGGATGGAGCGGCTGCCGAGAGGGCAGGTCTGGCCCCGGAACCTCAGCCGCAGCAGCTCTGCCCCATCTCTGTTCGCTGTTAGCAGCTTCAGGGGTCTGCAGCCTACAGCTGCTCAGGGCCTGCCAGGCTCCAAGAGGCCCAGTGTTTAGGATTTAATGCTCGCGGTGCCATCTTTGAATTTGTGTTTCGTAAGTGAAGTCTGATGGAGCATGTTCCAGGGACTTGGAGCTCTGACTGATGCTCAGTCCCATTCCCTGCTGTCTACCCACCTCCCTGGGATGTGTTCCCTGCAGCCTTGGCCCCTGGTGCTTCCAGCCGCTCCCCCCCCCCCCCCCTCGGGCCTCATTGCCTTCATCCTGGGTCAGAAACTGGGTTGCACTGGGGAAAGGGGGGAGGGAGCTGTGATCCATGTCCTCTAACCCCAAGGCCTGGCCACGGGCATGGGGAGGTTAGGGTCAGGTGCGTGTCTTGAAGTGTCTCAGGATAAAAAGGTGGAAGCCATCCCTACTCAGGCTGGAAGCACCGTGGTGCATTCACAGGATGGCTCTTACACCCTCCACCCAGGTACCACGTCAGGACCCGCACAGAAAATGGTGACACTTGCCTCTGAAAACCATGAAGCAATCTGTGCATGTGGGTCTCAACTTGTAGACTCGGTTAAGATATCAACTACATGTGCAACAGGAAGTTAGAACATTTTTTTTTTAAGAAAAAGGAAAGGGTGGCATTCCTTGGCACACAGTGGTCAACAGCCCAGGTAGCAGTGGCTAGCCACCAAGGGCTGAAGGCAGTTGCACCCTAGACCTCAGTAAGCTGGCTCTTGTGTTTTAGAAGCTCCCTCTTCTGCCCCCACCTGGGCCCCACCCTTCCCCACAGGGCAAATTATCTAGGGACCATGGGACCCACCTACCAAAGCCCAAAGACATCCCTCAGGACCATGTTTTCTTTCCCGTCCACCACAGACAAATGTGTGGCCCAGCGCGCATGACTGATGCACAGCTCACATCACGCGAGACACACCACGTGAGTCACACCACGTGAGTTTGGCGGCACCAGACCTGGTCTATACTTACTCAATCTGAGCAGTTCAGTCAGACAAGTTCACCCTTCGCTGTTTCAGCAATGTCAAGCTGCCATAGAAATTTCTAAGTGCTTGCATTGTTTATACTTACACCACAGTAGACCAGTAACAAGTTTGGTGCCTGGACCACACCGAGAAGCTCTGCTCTAGACTCTTATGTGGGTGCCGGGACCCTGGAATCACCAGCCCAAATCACACCATGCCTGTTTCCAGGTTCCTCACGGGCCTCTTCCCCTGATTCATTTCCCAGGTTTGCATACGCCTGGGCCAAGGGACGGCGTTTGCAGGGAGCAGTGGAGATAAAGATCGAATGTGTGTGCGAGGCTGTCCACGCACATACATTTGAGGCCATTTTGGTGCAGGGTGGGGGGGAGATGGGAAGAAAAGGGTTGTAGGCTGCTGGCTGGTGGAGGAGGGGGCACACAGATTTGGGGTAAACCCAGCTGAAGGAACCCATTTCTCTGCACTTCTGGAACCCACTGACAGTGTTCCCATGCACTGGGGCCTGCCAGTCAAGAAGCTCTGGACCAGGCATTTTCTATTGTGACTTTCAATATTTTGAATTCTATCCACGGCCTCTTAGCAGTTTGCAGAGTAGGTGGGCAATATGTGGACATGGGTGTCCTTTGGCTCACTGCGTCCTCAGTGTTGGGACTGGAGCCTCATCAACTTTGCTTAGTCAACCACTCCTCCCTCCCTTAGTAGAGATACACTGTGCTTGTGATGCCTGCTTCAGCGGGAAAGGATTGTGTTTGTTTTCCTTAAGTTTGATGAAAAGCAAACCCAGACAAACACCCCAAAGGAAAGACAGGCAAATGACTTGACAATTAAAACACACACACACACACACACACACACACACACACACACACAATTAGCCAATAGGCATATAAATAATGTAATATCTCTAGAAAATCACTAATTGTAAATCCAAGCAATGAGATACTTTATTTTGCCTCTTAACTTGGCAAAGACAAGAAACAAAGAAGAAAACATTCAGTGTTTGTGAGAGTTTGGGGAATATTGCCATTTCGTATACTGTTAGTAAAAGGACAAGAAGGTACTTAGAGATTTATAGGCAATACATTGCAAAAGACCTTAAAATGTGCATATCCTTTGAGATTGTGAATACACTGTTTCAGTCTTATAGCCATTGTTTGCTGATGAAAACTCTGATGTCGACCTCATTCGTGATTATTTTCCTCTTCTGAAGCTTTTCTTGTTATCAATGACATTCTAAAATCTCACAATTTCACTTTCACATTATCCTTCTGTTCTGAGAAACACTTAAGTCAGATAATTTGCTAGAATGACTCACAGAACTCAGGAACACTTTACTTACATTTATTGTAAAGGACAGTGTGAAGGGTACAGATGAGCTGCCAGATGGCGAGGTCCAGAGTCCCAAATGCAGGAGCTTCTGACCCCATGGGGTTGGGGTGTGCCACCATCCTGGCACTTGGGGTGCTTTCACCAACCTTACAGCTCCCGAAACATTGTCATTTAGGGGGTTTTATGGAGGTTTCATCATGTAGGTGTGATCAATTATTAACTCAGTCGCTAGCTCTTCTCCCCTCCCAGAGGTTGGGAGGTGAGACCGAAAATTCCAAGCTTCTAATCAAGGTTAAGTCTTTCTGGCAACCAGCCCTCATCCCGAAGCTCTCTGGGGGCTGGGAGTTGCCTCATCAGAGCAAATAATGCTCCTGTCTCTCCCATCACTCACGAAGTTACAAGGGACTTAGGAGCTCGTTGTCACATACCAGGAGCAAGACCACTGTCATAACAAAAGATGTTCTTGTCACCCCGTCACTCAGGAAATTACAAGGGTTTTAGGTTCTCTGTGCGAGGAACTGGGGATGAAGACCGGATATGTATTTCTTATTATATCACAAGATCCCACCCTCGTAGACTGCTCCACCCATGCTGACCGGCCTCAGCCGGTGGAGGAGAGGATGGCAACCTGGCTGCCCCTGGCTTCCGTGGCACCGCCCCTGCCCACTGTCTCCGTCTCAGCACACCCTCGTGCTTCTGTGGGTCTCTTTCAATCACACACCCTTCGTCTTGACTTCCTCACTGTAGTCCTCCTCTTGTGCTTCAGTGGGGCTGTTTACTTAAATCTTACTCTAGCATTTCTTGGCATTTGTTATTGGACGGACATAGTCCAACACATTGAGATAGAATTATGTAAAAAACGGTACAGCCTTCAAACCAGTATTCCACTTCTAGGAATTCATCCCAAGGAAGTAACTAAGAGTAAAGCTTCAACTACAAAGAGATTCATCACAGTAACATTTATTTTGAAAAACTGAAAATGTACATTCAACGAGATGGGATTAATAAAATAAACGGAGACCCATCCACACGCAGCACACTGTTTCTAGAATATGTGACAATGTTTAATGGCATGGGGAAATTCCATTGATGTATTTTTTTTTAATCTTCACCCGAGGGTATTTTTCTATTTATCTTCAGATAGAGTGGGCGGGAGAGAAAGGGAAAGAGAGAGAAACATCAACGTGAGAGGGACACATTGACTGGTTGCCTCCCACATGACCCCTTCCAGGGCCAGGGACAAACCGCAACAGAGGTATGTGTCCTTGACTGGAATCAAACCCGAGACTCTTTGATCTGCGGGCCGACGCTCTACCACTGAGCCAAACTGGCCAGGGCTGATGTATTGAGTAAATTTTCAGATTATAAACTTATTTTTTAAAATCTCATTTTTGTAAAACAGCAGCAACAATACATATGTTCTTATAGAAAAGGGTAATTCGGTGTGGTGAGATTTCTGGTGACTCTTCTTTCTCCTTTTTAGCTGTATTTTTTCCCACGCTTTGGGGATTGTTTGTAGCAATTGCCATGTGCAAGACTCTAGCGCCCTTGTCTGATTCCCTCCCCCAGGGGTGCTGGAAGATGGCCTGTCCTCCAATGGTGTGCCCCGATCGACAGCCCCAGGTGGAAAGTGCAACCCAGAGAAGAAGATGAGCTGTGGGACCCAGTGCCCAAATCCTCAGAGCCTCGGCTCAGGCACTCTGACTCAGAAACAGAATGGCCTTCGAACCACAGAGGTAGGTCACAGCCAGAACCGGGACTAGAGAAAGAGCGAGAAGCGTACTTCATGGCCGGGCCAAGCCAGACCTCCCAGGGAAGGAACAGTGAAGGCTCACCTTGCCGAAGGAAATCCTCGCCTCACTCACATGAAAACGGTTGCAAACAAAATAGCAAAACCCTAACCTACCCCAAGCCCTGCCTTGAGTGTTGCTCAGTTTCGTTGAATCAGCTGAAATGGGTCCTTGGTACCTGCACTCTACAGGTAGTTTGTTTGCTTAGGCACAGCTTTGCCCAAGGCTCTCCTTTCATGGGCCAGGTCTCCCGGGGTTGATGAGGACTGTGCTGGCTGGGGAGGCCAGGCGGTCAGCCTCTTGGGGTTGGCAGGGAGGGGAGTAGGCAGGGAAGGTGAGAGATGGCCAGTGCGTTAGGAGACAAGCCTGGCATTTCACCTCCGACCCTCCAGCCAGGCAGGCGGCAGGAAGCTCACTGCAGAATGTGGTGGCAGCACCCCCCCAGACTGCTGCTGTTAGGAAGGAAGCAGGGCTAGGAGTCCCTGGCCTGCTAGCATCCTGTCTGATCCTTTCTTTCTTCCCAGAGTTCTTGTTGGGAAGTGCTCCTCCCAAGGGAACAAATGCCCCTAGGAGGCCAGCCCGGGCTCTGCAGTCTTCCCTTCCCCTTGGCTTCTCCCCCCCACTTCCTCATCTTCCCCGTGCCCCACCCCCATTCAAGTCCACTGCTTACTGGATGCTCCAAACCCACATTCCCCTCTCCGCTGTCAAAACTTACTGGTCCTGTTATCTGAGGATATAGCTGGTCATCTAGTGATGGAATCCCTAATCATATCAGCAAGCTACCTCTCCAAGCTTTGGTCAAATAAACCTGTTGCAACTTCAGTTACTCATTCAGTAAGTAGCCTTGCAGGGACCACTTACTCTCTGAGTCTCAGGTTCCCTATCCACCGGAATGATACCCTAGTGAGAGAACAGATGGGCCTGCTCTCTGTAAACTGAGGAGTGCTATGAGGAAGGCAGTAAGCATGAACAGGGGTGGTTAAGCGCCATAACCCAATGAAACAGAACACTGCCCGGGGCTGTTCAGACGCTGTAGGAGGGAATGGGTAGGGAGCAAATTTGAGGATCATGGTGCCTTCCCGGATCCTTCATGCCTACTTTGCTTGTGCATAAGCTGGCCTTCTAGAAGCCTAATCATCATTGCTGTCTCCCAAGGCAGACTGGACCTGGCAGAACTACACACAGAAGCTCTCTTAGGGGCCCTGACATTTGTCCCGGAGCTTCCTCACCACATTTGTGCCCTCACCCTTTGAGCCAGGATGTGCCACGGTGGGTAGGAAGCAGCTTTGCCTGGTGTGACACGGCCCACACATTTGCTTTTCCACCTCACTCCCTGCCCCCATCACACATCAGTTTAGAATTGTGTTCTGCAATTCACAGAGTGCTTTCAGATCTACTGGCTCGTTAACTCTTCCCAAGAGCATTGTGAAATGAGCATCATCCCCATTTTATAGACAGGGAAACTTGGTTTAATTGTATGACAAGAATAGGCTATTTAAATGCTGGAGGTGGGTGTCAATCACTTCAAATTGAAACAGGGGACTATTAGAAAGGGGGAGCATAGAGCTCATAAAGTACTTTTGTAATTGAATAATGTACATTAGTCAGCTATTGTCATATCATGCTGCATGACAAAGCACTTTAACCTTCACTGGCTTAAAACTGCAACCTTTCACCCTCCTGTTCAGCTGCAACGTGTCTGGGCTAGGCCTGACTTCAGGCTCCAGGCTCTGGTCTAGCTGAATCTTCTTTTCCATGTGTATTATTCTGGGAATCAGGCCAAAAGAGCAGCAGCATTCTGAGGTGCATTCTTCTCAGACTCTGACAGTGTTGGGGCTCAGGTTAGGCTGCCCCCAAAGATGCCACTTTGGCATATTGATTATTTAAAATTAAAGTTACTTAAGAAATAGTTGGTGCAAAAAGGGCACTCTGACTGTTTGTCTCTCTGAAAGCAGGAAACACATCTGCTGTGTGAAAGATGCCTTCCCCGCCAGGAGGGGAGAAGCCTTATCACCCAGAGAGGAAATTCAGGGCTGAGGCTGTGTAAATAAACTGCTTAGATTCTTCACTCATTAAGCACCCAAGCCTAAGTTTCTTAGTCTTGTCCATTCTTCATAAATTTATGGTTTCTTTGTCTAAAAAGTAAGTATAAAAGCTGCCTCCTTTTGGTCATTTCTTTAGGTCCCATATCTCTGAGACCTCAATAGGTATGAAACAGATTTTCCTCTGCTAATCTGTCTCATGAAATTTAATTCGTAAACCAGCCAGAAGGGCCCTGAAGGGCACAAGGGATTTTTTTCCCTCCCTGACTACAGAAACCCAAGAGGGCAAAATCAAACTATTTAAACACATTTCATATCTCTGCTCACATCATATCAACCAACCTTCTACTGGCCAAAGCAGGTCACATGGACAAGCTACATCAGTAGGGCTGTTGTAACCCAGGAGATCGAACCAAACTCAGACGCCGAGATGGGGTTTAATAAAAGGAGTTTATTGAGCTAAGTCCGCAGGCTCCTGCAGTATGTCCCACACAGGAGTAACTGCGCCCCGGAGAGCTAAAATGGCTCCTTTTTATAGGATTTTGTAAGGGGGGTGCTACGTGTAAGCAAGCGTGTTACAGAAGCGGAATTTAGCAGTTAGTTAATTACCTGTTACTCAGTTTCCCAGACATCTCAAAGGTCAAGATGTTTTCAATAGATTATCCCTGGCGCCGCCCAGGATTACTCAAGGGTTAGTTATTACCCCAGGGTTAGAGACTATTTAGGGATTAGTTAGTGAAGAATGTTCTTCAGTAAATGAGTAAACTGACAACCCCTTTGGTTGTCTTGAAGGCCTCTGGGAGTTTAGGTCAATGGCACTGACAATAACATTCCCCACTTCTTCTGGTGAATTAATCAAATCCTTGATTTATATTAGTCATGGATTAGGGGTAAGCGTTGGTAATGTTGCTGTTGGGCTAGTACCATAAGCTTAATTGATTGGACCCGCTCCTTGACAAATGCAGTGATTCTGTTAAGGATGACGGGTCCGCAGGCTAAGGCTATGAATAAGAGGAGGAGCGGACCCACTAGAGCTGTGAGGAGGGTGGTCAGCCAGGGAGACCAATTGAACATACTCTCATACCATGAGGTGGAGGTAAGTTCTTCTCTCTCTCTATCTCGTAATCGCTTTTGCAGCTCTTGCATAGATTGTCTGATGATACCTGAGTGGTTAGCATAGAAACAACAGGTCTCTCCTAGGGCAGCACAGAGGCCTCCCTGTCTGAGGAAGAGCAGATCTAGACTTCTGCAATTTTAGAGGGCCACTTCGGCTAGGGAGTCAACCTGTTTTTCAAGGTATTTGACTTGGGTTTGGAGTAATTCAACATTGCAGGAGAACGTGGCTGACAGCTCACGAAGGGCAAGGTCATTCTTAATGAGGGCTGTCGCCCCTAGGGCAGTGGAGCCGGCAATACCAAGGGTAGCCAGTACAGGGATCAGAATGGGTACGCGTTTCTGGAGTCTAGTATGATAGTCTGAGGCTAGAAAATGGGCTGCACCTGTGGGCCCTGCATATAGGTATACCTGGGGAACTATATAGATAACAACACAAAGATCTGAATGATTCCCGGGGCTAATGCAATGGTGGATACCTGATAAGCATGCAAACCAAGTCCCGCTAGGTGCAATCAGAGTCCATGGGTTGAGCCTTCAGCTCGCAGAGAGTGTTGGTCAGGCAGTTGTCCTTGCATGGCGAAGCTTGGAGGTCGAGGTTTCCAAGGATGAAGCAGGTCCCCTGCCCTTGAAGATCTCCTAGGGTGAGCTTGCCGGCTCGGGCACAGTTGGCTAGGGCTCCTTCCCCAGGTGAGTCTGAGTCACTAAAAGTTTGGTTCATGCGGGCAAGAGTACCCATGGCATTTGCCCCAATACCAACATAGTAGGGTGGTGCTGGATCTACACAGAGCCAGCAGTCTTCGGTGGTGTTAGGTTGAGAACTATTTAAGAGGGAAAAAACAGAATCTAACATGGTTAGAAGTGAGTTGCTAAAAGGAATTGAGGGGGTGTGGCGTTGGCACCTGAGGGGACCCAAAAGCTAAAGCTGCTGTCCTATTCTGGCTCTCTAGAGACTCTGTGGGTGTTACTGGGTTGAGAATATGGTTTGGTTGGATGGGAAGCTGTGGGGGTAGACCCCCGGCAGGGTTGGGCGGGTCCCTCCCAGAAGGAACCCAGGGAAGTCGCTGGATGGTGAATAAAGTACCAATGTCGTATCCAGTGAGATATAGTCTCAATCCCCATGTTTTTCCAGTGAGCCAGGCTGAGTTTAGAGGCTGTTTTATAGTAATAGTGGTGGGGTTACAAGTTTGGTTCTTGCAAGTAGGGTCTATTCCATCTTGTCCCTTGTGGGTATGGGGTGTGGGGTCCCGCAGGAGGGTTATATCATCATCATTGCCGCCCCCTGGTGACCATCCAAGGGCTAGGGTCTCACAACCCCAGACCTTACAATAAAATTCTCCCGGTCCACCACATGTAGCCCTCATATGCCTGGGGAATGGGTTCTCAGGACAACCATAATGCTGAGTGCTCCATAGGACATGGTTAAGGTGTCCCAGGTTACAGACTGAAGTTTTACTTGCTGAGCCAAAGCGAGTTATTGGTTGGGTTGTGTGACGGGAACCAAATTCTCCGTGACAGAGGTTGTCATCGAAAAATTGTGAAAAGTCAGTCTTAAGGGTTACCTGGGAGGTTTGGAAGGTCTCATTGATGGCTAGCCTAGAGCCATCTCTAGTCCTGGTGAGGACCCAGGTATGTTTAGTTGGAATGCTGCGGAGGGTAGGGACCCACAACAAACTCAAGAGGATGCAGTAAACTTGGGTTTTAGAGGGTCTGTGGGATCCCTGAAAAGAGCCCATTTCTTTGGGATCTGATCAGGGTGTGCTTTCTTTACCTGGGTGTGGTGAATCCACA